TAAGACAGTGTCTTGCTATGGAGTTCAGGCTGGCCTTGAACTCACTTTGTAGTCCAGGCTGGCCTCGATTCTCCTGCCTCAGCCACTGGAGTTCTGGGGTTGCAGGCGTGTGCTACGGCGGTCGACTCTGTACTCACTCAACGCTGAGCCCATGACTGCAGACCCCTCCCACCCTGCCCACCACACACTTGAATTTCTGATGATCTGGTTTTGGGGTTTCCGGCCAAGTGACTCCCACTCCAGTTCTTGGATATCCAGATCTTTGACATTTAAACCAGGGCTCCTGCTGCTGATTGGTACCCTCCAAACCACTGGGGTTTCTCACCCCACCACACACACACTGGGAACCAAATCTACTTGAGCGGTATCGATCACAGAGCTACACCCCCTTTTTAATTTTTATTTTAAGACAGAGAACACAGAATCTCGCTAAGTTGGCTCGGTGGGACTCAGACACGCCATCCTCCCGCCTCAGCCTCCCAAGGGTGCTGGAATGACAGGCCCGCGCCCGTGCCGGGGGAGGGGGCTCCTCCTAGAAGCGTTTTCCCTGTTTCACATTTTCAGCCTCTCAAGACTGGAGGCCGGGGGGCAGAGGCCCAAGCGAGGGGTGGGACAGGGTCCCAAAACTATTCCCGCACCCCGGCGTGCGTGCCGACCTGCTAAATCCTGGGTAGTTTCCAGATCTTGAAACCCTGCTCCAGGTTCAAAGTCTTCTTCTGCCTGACAGCAACCCCAGCGCCCCCTGCTGGACCCCTCTCGCCATGCAGGTGCCGCCCGCCCCTGCAGATCAGATGCTGGGCTAGGTTGGTCATTTGCTGGGACTCCACCGAGATGAAGCCTTACAGAAAGCTTAGAGCTGTGCTCCTGGCAAATGACTCGGCCCGGTGCTCAGATTTTGAAACCCCAGGCATAGCCACTCCCCCCTTTTCCTTTTTGATATTGGACATCGCTAATACCACAAAGCCTTTGGGCTGAGCCACATCCCCCGGCAACTGTTTCCTTTACATTTTGAGACTGTCTCACTATGTTGGCCAGCCTGCTCTCAGACTTGCAGCGATCTTCCTGCCTCAGCCTTCTGAGTCTACAGGCATGTGGCAGTACGACCAGACATCCACTCTCAATAACTTACCTGGGAAACAATGAAATAGCCAATCACAGAACAAAAGAAATTTAAATTTTCAATTAAAAGTAAAAGTGTGGGGGCTGGGGAAATAGCTCGGCTGTCTAAGCCGAGGACCCGAGTCTGGCAAGCACAAGGACCCAACTTCGATCCCCAGTACCGCATACCGTGATGGCCTCAGAACTCCGGGCACGCTATTCCTGCCACCGAAACTGTAATCCCAGCGCTGGGAAGGCTGAGACAGGAGGATCACTATGAGTCCGAGCTATGTAGCGAGACCCTGTACCAAATAAATAAATAAGAAAAAAAAAAGGTGTGAGCACACTGTAATCCCAAGGCTGAGGTAGAAGGATCCTGGTTAGTTCTAGACCAGCCTGGGCTACACAGTGAGTTCAAGGTCTGAAGTACATAATGAGACCCAGTTTTATTTTTTATTTTTTAATGTTTTTCACAGTACCAGGGATTGAACTCAGGTCCCTGTACTCGCCAGGCAGGCACTTAGTTTACTGAGCTATCTCCCCAGCCCAAGAGACTCAGTTTTATTTATTCATTTATTTTATATGTTTGGTACAGGGTCTCACTATGCAGATTGGACTCGTAGTGATCCCTCCTGTTTTCAGCCTCCCCAGCACTGGGATCACAGGCGTGTGCCACCATGCCCATTCTTGGTGACCAGCTCAGCAAGGCCGGGGTGGGGGGACGGCAAGGCCAGCATGGCATGTCATGCAGGGGATCAAACCCTGGTCCCCGTGCTTGCCTAGGCAGGCACTTAGTCTGCTGAGCTAACTTACTGGTCCTCATAATGAGACCCTGAAACAAAAAGTATGAATTAGGAGTGTCGCTTAGTGGTAGCTGTGTGGTTAGCAAGCACTCGATTCTCGTCACTACAAAAAAAAAAGCTGTGTAGTATTTCCAGGTATTGCATACACATTTGCAAAATCATCTTCCCGAGAGTTTGTACCAACCTACGCCCCCTCTTTCGTGTTGAGCATTTTCAGTTCTTTGCCAGTTTACAGCATAAAACAAGGTTTCTCGCGCTTGTCATTTGTATCTCTTTCGATGGCTGTTGCAGTAGAGCGTCCTGAAGGGTCTTTAGGAACTCTGTGTCTCATTTGCCATGTGTCTGTCCTCGTCCTCTGCCTGTTCTCCTCTGAGGGTCAAGAACTGGTCACTAACTTTCCATGTTTTCACGGCTGCTGAGATATGAGATCTCTGGGCTGGAGAGAAAGGAAGAGGCCTGGGGTGCCTTTACCTGCAGAGAGGGCATTGTAGGAGAGGAACGCCTGCCTTCAGGGAACTCACCTTGCTCACTGTTATTATGGCTATTCCTGTTGCTGTTATTTAGTGGCACTGCAGACTGAGCCCAGGACAGTCACACCACTGCCATTTAATACACATGCGAAGACAGGTTCTTACTAAGGTGCTACATTACAATTTGGGCTCACACTTGCAGTTCTCCTGCCGTAACCTCCCAGAGTTCTGGGATTACAGGCACGCAGTGGGCCATAGCCTGTTTGCCCTTTGATCCAGAGGGACTCACCACCTAGGACTTTGATCCAGAGGGACTCCTTCCCTAGGACTTTTCCATGACAAAGTCCTTGGGAAGATCGCCGGGACTCAGGCAGCCTGTGCCTCTGCAGAAATGTTAAGAGGGGCCGGGGATACAGCTCAGAGGCACAGCACCTCCCTAGCAATGGCAGGGACGTGAATTTGATTTCTGATATGAAAAAAGAAATTTTTTAATTTTTAAAAATGTATTTAGTACAGGTTTTACAGGGTCTCACTATGTAGATCGGACTCATACTGATTCTCCTATTTTCAGCCTCCCAAGTGCTGGGATCACAGTCTCAGTCGCTCTCAGTGCACCCCAGGGGCAGGGCTGGCACAGCATGCAGGGGATCGAACCCCAAAATAGGCACTTTAGTCTGCAGAGCTATCTGGCCAGTCCTAAAAACAAAGAAATGTTAAGAGATGTAACTGCACGTTAGGAATATTAACTGTATGATAACCATGTTCAAGCCTTTGCCCTGCACGACATCCCCAGTCCTTAAAAAGATGTTTTTTGAAGCGGCTGTCCAGGAAGGAGACAAGGGCACTTCTGTGTGACATCATGCCTTCCTTTGATGTGCAGAAAAGACCAGGGATTTGATGATCCCTAGTTTTTTTGTTGTTGTTGTTTTTGTTTTGTTTTTTTTTGCAGAACCAGGGATTGAACTCAGATCCTTGCGTTTGCCAGGCAAGCGCTTATCCTACTGAGCCATCTCCCCGGCCCCATGATACCTACTTCTGAACAGCCCTATAAAATTGCTTCTCAAGGCCATGCTTTTGAGAGACAATGGCTAGAATGTGCACATGGAATTGGCGCTACCCAGGCAAATAAGGAGTGCAAGACAGAGTATTTGTTAGAGTGTTTACTTAGGCAGAAAATGATGAAACGCACGAGCACCATCAAGAAGCAGCGGACTGGGCCCGGGGAGATGGCTCAGTAGAATAAACACTTCCCTGGCAAGTGCAAGGGTCTGAGTTTGATCCCTGGTTCCGGAAAAAAAAAAAAAAAAAAGCAGCAGCAAATAAGCTAATAAAGGAAGGGATGTACACCCCTCCACCTCACCACTTGGGCAAGGAGGACCTAGGCCCTGAGCAGGGCAGCTGCCAGTGGCTGGAGGCTGATCTTCGTGCTCTTTTCCACTGCAGTGATTATTTACTGAAAAACTTCTGTCAACTGTGTAAAAATAAAGGAATATTATCTCCTTTAAAAAAAAAAGATTTTTTTAAAGACGATATCTTACTAAGTCACTGAATTACCCAGGATGAACTCCAAGGTGTGATGCTCCTCCTGCCTCGGCCTGTCAACATGGATGCCCAATTTTTTATCCTTTTATTTACAGCTCTCTGTGCTGGGAGGGCATCGAGGTTTACAATTTTAGATCCTCACTCAACAGTATTTTCTCCTTCATTATGTTTGTTGGCCAACTTGGGAGTGTACCCACTTGGTCACTGTGCTGAGAAGTCTCCCTCTTCCCAGCATTATTTAAACATCTCAGGGCTGGGGGGACAGCTCAGCAGAATAAGCACTTGCCTGGCAAGTGCAAGGGTCTGAGTTCAATCCCCAGTTCCACAAAAAAACAAAACAAATTAACATTTCACTTGTTTCTAGTACTCTTACAATTTTACATTTCATATGAACTCTTTAATACATATGTAGTGGAGTATTTCAGTGCAGAGAGGTCCCACAAAAAAGCAAAGTCACGATTCGGTGCTCACCCTGCTCCTCAAAGGTTGGGAGAGAGTTCCCAACAACACGAGGGGCCCACACCAGGGCTGAGCATCCTAGATGTTGTGCAAGGGCTGAATTTTACAGTAGGGTCTGTGAAACGCTCTGAGAACACCAATCCTGGGGTGGGGCTTCTTTCAAGGCATTTGGATATTGGCAGGTCACTGGGATGCTTGGTCCCTGACAGGTTGCTCTTGTGAAGTCTGAGAATATTTGTCATCTTGGTGTGTCAGGGAACAGTTCCCGAGAGGTTGTTGCTGCAGGATTTCAGTCACTGCTGAGTCCCCTGGGCTCAGAGGCGGCTCATCTGCCCTCGTGTCCTTATTGTGTTTGTCTGTTAGAGGAGGTCCCCAGGACGGGTGGCTCCCTAACTGTCAGCATGCCTTCCCTTCGCAGGGTCCCGCTTCGCCGAGTCCACGGGCCACATGGCATGCTGAACCCACTGCGGGCCTGGGAGGAGCTGGCAGCGGCAGTGCCTTCTGGGCTGGGGGCCCCGCCCCGCCGGGATGGGCCCTTCTTTGTGCCACTTTCCAAGTTCCTGAACGTGAGTCTCTCCCTGCATAATCCCACCCTGATGCCCACAAGCAAACCCTTGATCCCATCTCTTCCTTCTATACCAGGTGCAGTACTTTGGGGAAATTGGGCTGGGAACGCCCCCACAGAACTTCTCCGTTGTCTTTGATACCGGCTCCTCCAACCTCTGGGTCCCATCCAAGAGATGTCGCTTCTTCAGTGTGCCTTGCTGTGAGCTGAGTGGGGATGGAGAGGGTTGGGCCTTAGCTACCGCAGGCTTTTGGGGAGGCTATTCTCCTCGGACCCCCTCACCACCAAGAAAGTGAAAGGAGCCGAAGGTTGGGGGAGACTCCCACATCTCGTGACACTTCTTTATTCCTCCAACCAGGGTTTCATCATATCTACAATCCCAAAGCCTCCAGCTCCTTCCGGCCCAATGGGACTAAGATTGCCATTCAATATGGAACTGGGCGGCTGAGTGGGATTCTGAGCCAGGACAAGCTGACTGTGCGTGATTTCAGCCCCAGGAAGGCTCAACTTAGAAGACTTCAGGGTCCAGGGCTGGTGGTTTAGGGAGGGACTTGGAGAGCTGGGGCCTCCTGGGCAAAGGTGTGGGGGTTCTAAAGGGTGGGGGCTTCTCCAGCCAGGAGTTCTTTCCAGATATCCTCAGGTCTTGGATTTAGACCTTGATCTGGGGGAGTCTCGGGGACATCTGGGTAATGTCTTCCCATAAGGAACTGGCCCCATCTCGGTCCACTCCTAGATTGGAGGAATCAACAATGTGTCGGTGACTTTTGGGGAAGCTCTGTGGGAGCCCAGCCTGGTCTTCACTGTTGCCTCCTTCGATGGGATATTTGGCCTCGGCTTTCCCTCTCTGGCCGAGGATGGAGTTCCACCCCCTTTCGATGTCCTGGTGGAGCAGGGGCTGCTGGATAAGCCCATCTTCTCCTTCTACCTCAACAGGTAGTGGCGCGAGTCTCTACCTGAGTGCTGGCCCCTTGGAGGACTCTGCCCTCCCTCAGGAGCAGCCAGCGCAGCAAGTGCCACCGTCCTTTCAGGACATCATCCACAGAAGAGGCAGTTCCACCCTCCACTCAGGAAAACACTTGCCCAATATAAGAGCACCTGAGCCCTTGGAAGGCTCACAGCTTAAGTGACACTTTAAGGCACACTGAAAGAACTTGCCCTCATTTCAAAATGCCCATCACTTCAAGACCAAACAGGAAATTCCACACCCCACCCAAATAAATACTGCACTAGAGAACCCTCTCTTCACCCTAAAGCAAACCCAAATTCCATTCAAGAACACTCACCACATGTCTCAAATTGTACACTGTACCCCAGAGGGTACTGCCTACCTTTTAGAAAGTTCTCCCTTATGTTCAGAAAGTCTCACTATCCAAAGAGGTCCACCCTCCTAATCAGAAATTCCTGGGCCCACTCTGGAAGTCCTGCCTTCCTTTCAGGAGGCCGGTCCCTCTCATAGCCTCCAGGAAGTCCCGCCCCCTCTTCCCATCACTCCCAGCCAACTCCGGAAGCCTAAGACTTCCCTAGAGGCCAAGACACAATCTGGAAGTCTCACCACCTACAGGGAGCCATCCTGGCCCCTTCACTGGGGGCCGGACACCATCCTGAACCTAAGTGCTCCACTTTGTTACAGTGGCATTCCGCTCAGCACCTTTCCCCTCAAAGGTTCCACCTTGCACAGCCAGACAGAGAGGTCGCATCTCCACTTCAGGATGTCCTCAAATACCAAAGTCCTTCCACGATGCTGTTAAAGAAAATCACCACTTTAACTGGGCATGGTGCCACAGGCCTGTAATCCCAGCTCTTAGCTCAAGGCCAGGTTTGGAAACTTCCTGAGATCATCTCCAAATAAAATAAAGGGCCAGAGATGTAGTTCAGCAGTGTAAGTGCCTGCCTGGCAAGCGCAAGGTCCCGAATTCGATCCCTGGTACCGCAAAAAATAGTAAGAAGGAGGTCAAAATAAAATAAAGATAAAAGGGATGGAGAGGGAGGGAGGAGAAAAAAGGAGAGAGAGAGAGAGAGAGAGAGAGAGAGAGAGAGAGAGAGAGAGGAATTTCTCTTCTTGCCTTCCTCCCAGCCCCACGGTCCACCACCCCATCTAGAACCGAGAAACCACCCAGTTAGCACGAGGTCCCATCCCTGGTCACTCCGGGGTGGCAGGGAAATGCCTTCGCCACCTACAGCACTGTGCCTCTGCAGGGACATTCAAGGAGCTCATGGAGGCGAGCTGGTCCTCGGGGGCTCAGACCCGGAGCACTATATCCCGCCCCTCACCTTCGTGCCCGTCACCATCCCCGCCTACTGGCAGATCCACATGGAGCGGTGAGCAGACAGTCGGGCGGGCGGGCGCAGCCTCCCAAGTCACAGGTTGGATCCGGAGCTCTGGAGCCCGCGGGCCCTGCCTCTGATGACTGCCCCGCCCCCGCAGAGTGATGGTGGGCACCGGGCTGACCCTCTGTGCGCAGGGCTGTGCTGCCGTCGTAGACACAGGCACGTCGCTCATCACAGGACCCTCCGAGGAGATCCGCGCCCTGAACAGGGCCATTGGGGGCCTCCCCTGGCTGGCTGGCACGGTAAGGACCCATTCTCTGGTGGGTGTGGGCTGGGAGGGCAGGTGGGAGTTTGAAGGCAGGCAGTGGGAAGGATTCGGGGATCAAGGGTGGGAAGCAGGTAGCCAAGCAGTACCCCAGGGCTGAGTGACTCAGGAGAGGTTGAGAAGGCAGGTTTATTTGGGTCTGGGTGAGGGAAGTTTAGGTAACAAGCCTGTCCATATAAGGCTCCGGCCTTATATGTCCATATATGTAGCTGCCCAAAACTGACACTGCCTTCTGGAGCTAGGGAGCCAGGAGAGGCTAGGGAACCGAGCAAGACTTGCCCCACAAGAACTGCCCCCCTTTACTTGTTCCTTTCCTCCTCAGCACTTCATTCGGTGCTCGAAAATCCCAACACTCCCCCCAGTCTCCTTCCTGCTTGGGGGTGTCTGGTTTAACCTCACTGCCCAGGACTACGTCGTCCAGGTGAGTGAGCGTCACGATGACGTCAGATTGACACAAGAGAGCTGGGCCTGCGAGGGTGGAGCTTGGAGCAGCCCCTAACGGATACCCGGTGGTCCTGTCTTGGTGCTTTGCAGATTTCTCAGGGTGGCTTCCGCCTCTGCTTGTCGGGCTTCCAGGCCTTGGATATGCCTCCGCCTGCAGGCCCCCTCTGGATCCTCGGCGACGTCTTCTTAGGGGCCTACGTAGCAGTCTTTGACCGCGGGAGCGCAAGCATGGGCCCCCGAGTGGGGCTGGCGCGTGCTCGCGTCCCGGGCGCGGACCTGGGAGGAGACGGGATCGCGCAGGCGCAGTTCACCGACTGAAGCCCGGGTTTAGACGCTTGCGCAGCACGAGGTAGCAAAGATCCGATTTCCAGAAAAGATTCAAGATTTCCACTGAATGAATCTACCTGGGTCTCTTAAGTGCATGCTTTTTGGAGGGAAAAAAATTGGTGTTCCGACCTCTAGAGGTCCCTGTTTTGCAGAGCACACAGTCTTTGAAGGGGGGCTTCTGTCATGTACTACGAATCCCATGAGGCCCTTGGCCTTCTCTGCCTCCAGCCAAACGGGCCAGGCCCTCGGAACACGCCGGATGTTGTAGTCAGCATCAGTTCTCCGTGTTGGTGGGGGCGGGTGCTGCCACAACAAGAGTGGGAGGCGACAGGTCGCGTGGACAGCTACAGGTGGCTATGGGGGGAGTGGTGGCTGAAATCAGTGAAAGATTTCTCAACCCTTGTTGTAAGGAGAGGGGATACTGTTTCTTCTGTTCTCGTCTCCTGTTCCTCCTCTCTCCCCTGGGGATTTCAGGACCCTGGGACCGCCATAAAGGCGGAGCTTGAAGCCCCCGGGTTAGGGGGAGCGGGACAGCCCCTCCTCCGGCGGTGATGTCATTGCCCCTCCGCAGCTTCTCGCTGTCCACGGCTGCCGGGGCTGGGTCACCCTTACCCCATCGCCAGACCCCGGATTCCCCCCAATCTGCCTCTCCTCGACCAGGGGTGAGTACCTGGGAGGGGGCAGAGGTTCAGGTCCTCGGAGCGAAGGACAACCTGAATCCCAGTTATGGAGGCGAGGACTGGGAGATGGGACCCAAAAATGACAGCGGAGCGATCCCCCATGGTTCTAGACTTTAGTATACTGAGGTATGGGAAGGGTCTCTGGAGGCCAATCGTCTTAGGTAGAGTCCCCATATTTTTAGTGAGACTCCCTTTCCTGGATTTGGAACTGACGAGAATAGAGGTGGAGGTACATACAGGAAGGGGTCTTAGAAATCAGGGACGGGGAAACCAATCTCCAAAAGCACCGCCCTGGGGAAGGGGGAAGGGAGGACGGGAACGGAGTCCCGGAGATGACGACGGAGCTGGGAGTTTGTATCTTTCAGGTATTCTGTGCTTTAAGTGTCTGGGAAAGGATGGACTGGAAGGGGCTGGTTGGGGAAAGATCGGAGGAAGTGGGCAGGCAGTGGTAGCCTTTCTCCTCGTGGGGAAAGCATGGAGTCCGTGGCTTTCCTCCGTGTCTGAGCATAGATGTAACCCAGGCTTGATCTCATCTCCCAAACCCCCCTCTAAGGGACAGGTGACTCCAGGCTCACAGATATCGATGTAGCCTGGTGAGGGGGTGACAGTGTCCAAATTTCCCAGTGCCCAAGGAGTCTGAACCATCTTTTTACTACTCCCCGCTGTCGGCCTCCTGGCCTCCTCTGCTCTCCGTGGTTTAGAATCCCAAATCTCATCCCATAACCTCCCCTTTTCTAGCTCATTCCTCTCCACCAAACCTCCCACTTTATCCACACCTTCTGACCTCAGCTAAAACGCTGATTTGGTCATTTGATCCCGTGCTTGGCTGCAGTCAAATAGTGGAAAGCAGTGGGGTGGGATACGGGGATCATGATTGACTCAGGTCCTGCCCCACCCTCTACTCCCAACCCAACCCCAGCTCCAGCCTCCACCCAGACCCCAAAGCCTCACCCACCCCATACCCATCTCTCACCTCAGAACTGACTGCTTCTGTCTGGAGCACACCAGAACAAGGGGCATAGAGGGGTGGTGCCCAGGACTTTTCTAGTCCTGGTGGATCCCATTATAGGATTGAGGGATGCCTGAGGATTGAAGACACTGGACTGGGGTCCTGGGAGAGCCCGGGGTGTGGGGATGAGGGCATGGCCTCCTCGGCCTGCAGGATGGGCCCACTTCTGCAACTCTCTGCAGTGTCGCAGCCTGGAGTCCCGGCCAGGATGGGGGTTAGATCCAGGTGTGGGGGCGGGGCGTCCTGAGGAAAGGGGACCGAAGCCCAGAGAAAGGAGACACCCAGAAAAAGACATTCAGCAGAGAGTGGTGGGGGAAGAGAGACCCAAGGAGGGGACAGAGAAAAAGGATGAAAGATCTAGAGAGAGGGAGTTAGCTGGAAAGAGAACAATGATCTGTACACAGGGAAAGAGGGAAGCGGAAGGGACAAGGCCAGCAGAGAACGAGGAGTCAGCGGCCCAGAACGGGCAGAGCCCGGGAGAGAGTAAAGCAGAAACTCAAAGAGGGGACAGCCACTTTGAGAGAGCGCGACTCAGGAACAGGAAGGCCACCCAGTGATGAAGGCAGAGGTGGGGGCCTCAGCAGGGAAGAGGGGAGATAGCACCCAGAAGGGGACAGCAATCTATGGCGGGGAAGCAAGAATAGAGGTGAGGTAGGGCAGAGACCTGGGAGACAGGCGACTGCAGAGTAAGGGTCTAGAGACGCCCCCCCCACAAAAAAGACTAGGGGGAGGGTATGAAGTCACAACCGCGGGAGAGGAGACTGAGCCCTAGAGAGAAAAGGGACAGAGACTCAACAAGGAAGGGAAGTTCAGAGACCCACGGAGAGGGCAGTGACTTAACCGGGGACACAGACTCAAGTAGTGAGACGAACACTTAGAGATCGGGGAGGAAAAGGGACACCAAAAGAGATAGGCACGGGAGCGGGGGTGGGATGAGTAACAATACAAACCAGCCGCACACCTGCAGCGGGAGGCGTCTGCCTGGGACCACGTAGCGCGTCCCGCAGCGCCCTGACCCGCCCCCCTTCGCTCCCACAGGCCCCGCCTCCCTCCGCAGCCGCTGCCCCCACCCCTGCGCCTGCGCATTGTTTCCCAACACCACGGACTGCCCTGGGGCGGGGCCATCCCGCCTGGAGGAGGACCGCCGAGTCCTGGCCCCGCCCCTAACTCTGGTCTTGGACCGTGTCCCGGCCTCTTTGACACCCAATCTCCCGCCCTCTCCATTGGTTCCGCCTGCTGCCACCTTTGGGAGCTTTGGCGGTCCCTTTCTTTCCTCTTCCCTTTGTACTCAATTTTCATCAGTTCTTGCCCATCCCTTGGTCTTTACTCTGTCCTCTAAGGCCTCACAGACCCTTAATTAGGGCGCTATCCCAAGATCTCTCAGTGACAGGTCCCTCCCCTCGATCTAGTGCCCCTTTCGTCCTCCGCCCTTTCCCGCTGCCCATTCCAGATGTTTACAGTCCCCGGTATTCTTCACCCACCCACCTCAGTTCCACACCATCCTTCGGGACGCTCCTTCTCTCGGCCAAGACCGGTGTAGCCAGGCTTAGGTTGTAGCCTCGCGCCTTGGTTCGGTTTCCCTTCGCCCTGGCCCTTTTCAGTTCTGCCAGCCCCATTCCGTCTACAATTCCCGCCCCTAATTCAGTCCCGCCCTCCCTGCCCCAGCCCAATCAGGGCCGTTTCTACTGTCCTCGGCTCTGATCCCTCCAATATTAGCCCCACTCCGCCCTCTCCACCTGACCCTCTATACCCGCTACTGCCTGCTAGGGCTTTAAATCCAGATGTGCAAACCCTTATTCTCCTCGGGTCACTTCTTAGTGCAATCCGATCGGCTTCTCCCATTTTGGCCCTAACCTTCCCGGTCAGCCTGGCTTCCCAACCACTCTCGCACCCCCGCCGCCCGTTTTCTCAGGTCTCTTTTGCTTATCTTGCTCCGCTTTCTCCATTCTCCCTGAACCGCTCAGCCCCGACAGTTAGCTACCTTTTGACGCCCCTCCCAGCTCCCCTCCAATAGGCGTCCCATCGGCGAGCCTCATTTGTGCCCCCACATTCAGGCTGTATTAAGAGACCCATTCCCTCTCGAGACCTTAGCCCCGCCCACCACAGCCAGGCCAATAAGATACGACCTTTTCCCACGAGGCCACACCCCTCCATCAATCGGATCCTCCCACCCAATCGTGTCATTCTCTGGGGCCTCCAGGCCCGCCCCTCTCACTCATCGCCTCCTCCCACCCAATCACTTCCACCTCTTCTCCCGAGCCCCGCCCCTCAAGAGCCCCGCCCCTCCCGGCCCGCCCCCTGTCCAATGCTGAGCTCAGTCTGCGTCTCATCCTTCCGCGGGCGCCAGGGGGCCAGCAAGCAGCAGCCGGCGCCACCACCGCAGCCGCCCGAGTCCCCTCCGCCGCTGTCCCCACCGCCACCGCCGCTGCCGCA